CAGCGGCAATATCAACTTACGGCTTGCATACAGGACAGATCTGAGGAAGACGTTACTATCATGCGACTATACAATCACAAAGCAAGTCCACAAGGTCTGTCTCGTAATGCCTCGTCACATAATAGTGTTTCAAATCTTTGTTCACAAAAATTCGCTTCTTGATTCATTTTCGTGACGGCAACATGATAGGCAGCCCCCACGCAGATATGGCTCCTGACTGCAAGGAGCACATATCTGAACACACTGACGGGTACGGAGGATATGCCAGTCAACTTTGTCAATAATCATGCATAATCACTTGTAAGACCACAGTTAAGTCAAACATGTTTGCAAAATTCAGGAAATTGGTGAAGAAATTGCTAGCGACATTGGACTCACCTTGTAGGCACCGCATCCAGACTGGATAAGGATCGCGTAATCCCCTACCTCGTGCGGCAATTCGTGAATAAGGACGGTCAGGCTGGTGACCCAACCAACATTACGACCAGCAAGGAACGATCCGGCTAGCAAACGAAGAAAGGAGACAAATTTTATGGTTTGTTGCATCAAGAGGGAGAGTTCAGTGTACGTGAACATCGATATAAAAACGGAAAATGAAATAATTTCCTACTTTGTGCAAAGTGGCTTAGCTCGTGAATTGAGCCCTGACAGTCTTCATGGGACTCTGTGAGTGGTCTTGCGAATCTAGCGACTCCTCAAATTTGAACGTCATCGCGCGTTCTGGTTGCCAACTTAGTCTAAGGACAAGCCCCGCCTGTCCCATGCTATGCTCAAACAGGCAGGGAATTGAACTGTTTTTAGGGGGGGGGAGGAGTTTGGTTACCACCGTTTTAAAAAACAGTGGGCGGGAACTGGTTTTTTGTTTAGAAATTCCCCTTCTACACAATACTTTCCACCTAAGACGACCTATGAAGGGGTCTGGAGATAATGGCACCGTCGTGCGTACAGGAGCCGAATAAAACCCTAGTCCTCGGTGTCGTGATCGAAATAGATAGAGTCGAGAGATTCAGTATGTGCGAGCCAAACAGTCGAGGATGGAGAATTAGCGAAAACCCTAGAGTTGGGCTCGCCAAGGGGAGGAAGAAGGCTCAATTACTCCATCCGATAAAAGATGACGAATCTATTCCCGAATAAATCTTTCATCAACATAAGTGTGTCGACGAAATTTTGTCGCGATTGGTTTACAGTCCGAGGTTAGATTAGGAAATAAACTAGGAGGGTCGACGCAAGCGGAAGCCACAGAACACGGTGAGGACGTAGGTTAGTAATATAGGCAATCAGTGGACGATCGTTAAGGAGCGTGGGTGAACGTTAATCAATAAGGGTGAGAAGGCAGGGATGAACGAGGGTCAGAGTACTATTAGCACGACATTCGGAAAAGAGCCGGAGAATCTGTGGATGGGCGCCTACCGACAATGTATGATTCCCTCTTTGCTCACCATATTGATCGATGGCAACATCTTCCAAATCAGGTAAAATCCCGCTAATGGCATGAAGAAAAGTTATTGAATAAATCATGCTTGAAGTGTGTCATTTATACTCAGCTTAATATCGCAATCATTGCAAGGATTTAAAGGCTACACTTTATTGGGCTAAAATTCGAGCTGCCTTTGTTATACTAAGCTGAACGTGTCCTGGGGTGCTGTGTGGTGTGGTGTCATATGTAAGTGAATATTAAGTCAAGAAGAAGGCATCCAGATAATTTATCTGAGGAACATTCTCCGTTCGCTTTGCCAGACAGTGATGTAAATTATGCGTTATACATACGTTGAGTTTATCGTGGCAAATGGTGACGCTACGCCCAACGTAGTGGGTGTAGTGGTGGGGCTACGGTGTGAAATTTTTTCTCTACACTTACCTCGTTGCCTTCTCTTTACATGTCAATTTTGCTTCGATGGAAACACGGGGTCAATGACACTGGATACGGACGAGGGCGCAAAGCTAAGTGGTCTGTCTACGCTTGCTGCGCACGACCCGTCTCCTAACTCTGCACCGAAATGATAGGCGCTATGTACGCAGGGCGGCATTGCAGTCGTACCCTCACTGAGGTATCCCATCAACTGACAACCTTCCAATCCACGACTATTAGCGCATTGTGGCATTTCCACACCGTGTTTGGTTGTTTTCTGTGAGAGAATGAAGCGCTGACTTCAAGCAGGGTCGAACTCGCCCCCTTTTTCCCTCTTTCCTGTTCGGATGACCTGAGTCAAGCCCAGTGTTAGTGAGATTTGGCACAATAAACAGCATCGTGTAAAGTCGCCATCTAATCTGCATCACAAGCATGTACAACGTCGTGTAGTCCGAATAGCGAATGCCATCAGCCAATGCAGTTCCGAAGGGGAGAGCGGGTCAGTATCGAACATAAGTAGTCCCATCGGGGAATCCGACATCAGTCAGCTTGCTACCCAGGAGTTTATTTGAACTTTTCTTAGAAATGTCTCTGAAAAGAATTAAATATCTTGATACACATAAAGTAGGCCCTAAATAGTTGGATCAGACGTTGCTGGTGAACACAGGGTCGTAATTATAAGAAGGCTGATTGGCTGGCCAAACGCTAGAACGACGGTCAAACGTAGTTTCAGTCCTTAAACGTCACTGTGTAGACAGGCGCTGTAAAATCAAAATTTACTATTAAATACGTCTTTCACAATCGTCAAGACGAGACCGCCTATGCAAAGGGAATTTACACATTTACAAAAGTAGAGGTGACGAGAACGATGCGTGGTAACAGGTAGGTTGGGAGCTCACATCAATTATTTAACAAACTTACCGATAGCAATACCATCCGTAAAGTTGTGTGTGAAGTCAGCCGCTAAATTGAGATAGCCCGCCGCTTGAAGGCCTACATTCGTCAAAAGAGGGAAAAACAAGACAAGTTGAGATAGTTGAAAAGAAATTAAGATGATGATCGCACTGCCAAGGGACTAGGTAGTGTCAACACGACCGTAATAGACTATCTCTGACCATCTAAGCTGTGTGTTAGAGGATCGCAGGAGACAATCGAATGATTTGCTGAGACGAATAGTGCGTGAAGTGGTGAACGACATTCGGATAGATCTAGTGCCGGAAGAAAAG